CAAACAAACAAACAAACAATCCATAGCGGGAATCGAAACTTAACTTCAATTTTCTTGTGCCATTAATATGTCATCACCAGAAATGATATTTAATTCCAGGTAATATAAATGTTAACTCAAAACCTGCAGTAACATTCATTAGACTAAAACCTGTAGTAACATTCACCAGTCCAACAAAACCTGTAGTAATATTCATCAGTCCAAAACTTGTAGTAACATTCACCAGTCCAACAAAACCTGTAGTAATATTCATCAGTCCAAAACCTGTAGTAACATTCACCAGTCCAACAAAACCTATAGTAACATTCATCAGTCCAAAACCTGTAGTAACATTCACCAGTCCAACAAAACCTGTAGTAACATTCATCAGTCCAACAAAACTTGTAGTAACATTCACCAGTCCAACAAAACCTGTAGTAATATTCATCAGTCCAAAACCTGTAGTAACATTCACCAGTCCAACAAAACCTATAATAACACTCTACTTTTCTGTCATTCAATCATTGTGAAGGCAAACAAAAGGGATAACAGTAACTGCGGCTCAGTGTGACTTAACCTTCCATAATGAGCGGATATTAATGCTTATTGACTTCCTCGAGCATCACTCGTGAAGTACTCGTACAACAATCTTCCTTCTAATGGCTAAAACATCTTATATGGAAATGTGAATGATTACTTGTATACAGTGTAGGAACGTGTACTTCAAGAGCCTCTTTGTATACAGTGTTGGAACGTGTACTTCAAGAACCTCTTTGTATACAAAGTAAACCAATCATCGTTTTGAATTTATTTACAAAAGCAACAACAACAACAAAAAAAAACGTGAATAAATTAGAGTGCGTCAGTTTATATACAATAATATCAATACTGATGTATATGAATCAAAGCACAGTTGTGGAACACGAAACACGGTATAGTACTTGATGTAATGTAAACATTTTTTGGTTTAACATATTAAGAGCACTTGACGTAGCTTTTGATTTCATAAGATTAGGTTGAGTAAACATAAATGACTGAAAGCTTTCTTTCCGTAGAATTCACTTACCAGTTAATAGCATGAATTTTGTTAATTATCCAACAAGAGTCGATTCATCTTAACGGAAGTTAATTAAAATGTTAAGACCCGGGAGACGGGAAGCGGAAGTTGTCCGAAACGTCGGGGTCATAAAGACGGGAAACGGAACTCGTCCGAAACGTCGAGGTCATAAATACTAGAAACAAAAGTTGTCTGAAACGTCGAAATCTTTAAGACAGGAAACGGAAGTTTTCCGAAACATATTATAGAATGGAAACGGAAGTTAATCAAAGTGTCGATATTATAAACGGGAAACGGAACTCGTCCGAAACGTCGAGGTCATAAAGACTGGAAACAAAAGTTGTCCGAAACGTCGAAATCTTTAAGACAGGAAACTGAAGTTTCCGAAACATATAAAAGAATGGAAACGGAAGTTAATCAAAGTGTCGACATCATAAACGGGAAAAAGAACTCGTCCGAAACGTCGAGGTCATAAAGATGGCAAACGGAAGTTTTCAGAAACGTCGAGGTCATATAGAATGGAAACAAAAGTTGTCAGAAATGTTGAGGTCACAAAAACTGGAAACAAAAGTTTTCTGAAACGTCAAGGTCACAAAGACTGGAAACAAAAGTTGTCCGAAACGTCGAAATATCTAAGACAGGAAACGGAAGTTGTCCAGCACATCCAGGTCTCGAAGACGGAAAGAAAATCACACAACACATCGAAGTCCAGACGACGGGAAACAGAAATTACCCAAAACAATTGAGGTCCTGTATACAGGAAACGAGAGTTATTCGAAACGTCGAGAGGAAACAATTGTCACAACCGCAGACCGTTGCTACCCGTAAAGAAACTTCGCCAGATGTTACAGATACACAGCCTAAACCTTCTTACCGTTATTACAAAACTTTACAAAATGCTTTTGTAAGAAATGTAATCTATTATATAAAGTAACGACTCCTCGTGAAAGTTCACGTAGGACTTATATATATGTATAATGAGCCCTGTGTTTTCTCGTAAAATGAAAGTTAAAAAAAAATGTATATTGATTTGAAACACGTACATTTTGGGCCAGTTTGTATTCTAAGTTTACTTGTTCTTTAGGCTGTGTGTTCAGCGGTGGGAATCGAACCCCTGATTTCAGCGTTGTAAGTCCGTAAAGTTACCGCTGTTCCACCGGGTGGAGGGAGATAAGATGTTAAGTCGTACATCCCATCGGAGAGTACACATTAAATATTCGCATACAATGTGCGTTTATTTCTCGCCCCTATTCCAAATATTCTAACAGTCTGTTAGCACTAGTTTGTCTGGTGTTATTTCCAGAATCTAAGAGATTTTTAAGACCCTTTATGCTGAAAGTAGGGGGGACAGACTTTCCTCGTGCGGAGAAAATGTGACGTCATAAAGAGTAATTTCGTGATTGGCCACAGCTTTTCAAACGAACATTTTAAAAGAAAAAAAAGTTTTAAAAACGTAAGGTAAATATAAATGTACACTATAAGTAAATATTAAAAAATGTACAACTTTTTAAATGTTAGCAATATCTTATAGTTGTCTTCGTGTTGTCAAAGCTTCTTTAAAAGTTTACTTTTTTTTTTATAGAGTCTGTGCATTGAGTCATCGCTTATAAACACGATAAGTAACGTAAACTTTCAAGACACAAGTTCTTCGTTCCAAGCCTGTAAATACTATTGAGTGCTTTCAAAACTTAGTAAAAACAAAAATCCCAAAATTGACTTTAACTACACGTGAGCTCGAAACGTCCATGTTTGGCAACAGACCTCACCTTTCTTGCTCAGTTTTTGACTGAATTTTAGATCCTGTTACAAAAAGAGGTTTTTATTGAGTTGAAAGTTATGTCATAAAATACTTCTGTGTCGTCATCCGTTACGTCTCC